CAAGACTAACCATCAGGCTTTCAAATGAATTAAAAGTCTGTCTGGGTCTTTGGTTAATAAGCTTGAGTGGACGATTGATGCCAAACCCTCTTTTGGCCTGTACTTCGAGGATTCTGATGATTACTATGACTGAGGGACATTCATTCATCTAAATTAACATTATGTTGAAACCAGGCAGACTAAATCAGTTTATTGATCAATTGTTAATTTATGTACTAACAGGGACCTAACGGGAGACCAAATATTAATCCAGATTTGACTGTTTTACTCTTTGGTGCAGTCAAGGATACTGTATTGTTCTTTCTTTGTGATTTCTTTATGTTTAAATCATTTTTTCCTGATTTTTGGTGATTTAGGAGTAGACATAGTCTTTAAGGGGATTTTGGAGGGATAAGGGAAGGAGAGAAGCTGCAGACAGCTCTGTAAGTCGCTCTTTCTGGTAAAGATGTTGGACAAATCAGTTCATCTGTTTGAAGCACCTCTTGCACCTCTAGTTCTTGGGCATCTCTGGCTCCACACTCATAATCCAAACATTGGTCACATAACAGCATTTCTGGTTAGATCACATGGCATCAACCCAACTGCATAAAATCTGCATCACCACCCTTATTCTCTTTCACCTCCTGCCGAACCACCAACTGATGTGAAACTTTCAAAATGTTTTCAGTTCAGGTATAGTGACAGCACAGGGAGGATTAAATTCACGAATTCAGTTATTCATCTACATCAGCAGGGGGTCTGGAGCAGATTGCAGTTGTGTTTTCAGGCAGCTTCAGTCTTTAGTTTGAGTAAAAATGTGCATTGACATTTGAAAACAGGGTCCTTTTTCATATGTCTGCTGTAGCCATCATGTAATTTGCCCATTTCCTCCTTTCTTCCCATCCAGCTTCACCTGCAGCCCAGCTCTTCGGCTCTTCTCTCTCAGTCTAACGTTGGGGCTCTGTTGAAGGAACTGGCTGATGTAGAGAGGCTTCTGAAGGATGTGGACCTGCTTTCTAGTCTGGCTCGCCTGCTGCCCAAAGGGGCCTGTGCTGGTCGAACTCCAGCATCGCCAGCAAACACAACATGGCCTCTCAATGCCACCACATGGGGCCCCAACACAACTGACATTCCCGGAGAGGGTGATGAAGGAGGAGAGGAAGGTGGAGGAGCAGGAAGTGGGAAAGGGAAGAAGGAAACGGAGAATCCTCATTCTCAGTTTTCAGCATTTGTACAGTTATGGGCTGGACTGCAGCCCATTCTGTGTGGGAATAACAGGTGGGTATGACAAAAACTGTCTTTAATTGTATGAGGAATGCTTTTGTCATGTTGTTTTAAATAATATGAACACACATTTAAAGAAGTGCCCACGTGTTTAGACTACTCCTTTTTACAAAAAAGCTATCCAACCGAAGAGAAACAGAAGCAGTCACAGGTTTTATCTTTATATGAACAATGGTCAGAGTACAAAGCATATGCAATGAGAAACCTCCTCCTCAGCTTCTCAACATAATAAAGTTCTAGCACATAAATTAAATACCAATCACATCAAGAATATGAGAACAGAGAGATTGTTAACAGCTTAAATGGGAAGAAATTAAAATACCAAAATACCTGGATATCAACATCAGCAAGAATGTCAATTAACTGTTTGTGAAAGTGAAATAAGAGGATTACTAGACTTGTAGATAGTAAACTGTGTGGAATTAAATGAACTACAACTGAGCTCTAAAAGGATAAATGGACTGGTTCTTATATAGCGCTTTTCGACTTTATCTGAGCTCCCAAAGTCTTTATACATTATCACATTCATAGCACTTTTTTTTCTGGTTAAACACTTTCTGTCTAACATTCACACACACTCATACTCTGATGGATGCATTGGAGAGCACCTTGGGGTTGGTATCTTGCCCAAAGATATTTAACATGCAGACTGGAGAAGCCAGGGATCAAACCACCAACCTTCCCATTAGTAGAGCTACAGCTGCCCCACCTGTAACTGATATAATTGTTGTAAATCAAAGAAATTATTGCTAAAACCACAAAATACTATGATAATAAAAAAATTGAATTATTTTCAAACTACTCTGCTGTCCATAAACTTTATCGGCATACCGTTCTTTATGTAGTAAAGTGTGAAATATCTCAAAACATGCTTTATATTTTAGATTCTTCCAAATAGCCAACCTTTGCTTTGATTACTGCTTTGCACTGTGGCATTTATCTGGGCTCTAATCTGAGCTGTTAACTTGTGATTTCTGAGGCTGGTGACTCAGATGAATGTATCCTCAGCAGCAGAGGGACTCTTGGTCTTCCTTTCCTGGGGCGTCCTCATGTCAGACAGTTTCATCGTAGCGCATGATGATTTTTGCGACTCCACTTGGGGACACATTCAAAGTTTTAGCAACTTTTTGACTGACTTTCAGTCCTTAAAGTAATGATGGACTGTTGTTTCTCTTTACGTAGCTGATTTGTTCTCGCCATAATATGAATTCTAGCAGTTGTCAAATAGCGCTGTCACCTGTGTCCCAACCTGACTTCTGCACAAAACAACTGATGGTCTCAGTGGCATTAAGAAGGCAAGAAATGAACAAATGGACCCTGACAGGCTCACCTGTGAGGTGACTACATCATGAAGCTCACTGAGAGAAGGCCGAGGGTTTGCAGCGCTGTCAACAAGACAAATGGTGGAATCTAAAATATAAACATATTTAGAGTTATTTATCATTTGCTTCCATATATCTGGCTTCATCTATTTGATGTCTTCAGTTTGTATCTACAATGTAGGAAGTGTAGTAAAAATAAAGAAAAAGCATTAAATGAGTAGGTGTGTCCAAACTTTTTACCTGTAGTGTATAACCTAGAAGATACAGATCAAATTCCAAAGTACTGTTAGTTATAGTAGGGCTGTCTTGGTCGACACGCCTCTACAATGTTCCATGGAGATCAGGGCTGGTAGCTCTGGATCGGCAGACCTGGTGGTGGTTTCCATCTTCAAAGAAGGGGATTGAACGGTGTGTTCCCACTACAGGGGGATCACACTCCTCAGCCTCCCTGGGAAAGTCTATGCCAGGGTGCTGGAAAGGAGAGTCTGTCCGTTAGTCGAACCTCGGATACAGGAGGAACAATGCGGTTTTCGTCCTGGTCGTGGAACACTGGACCAGCTCTTTATCCTCTCGAGGATACTTGAGGGTGCATGGGAGTTTGCCCAACCAGTCTACATGTGTTTCGTGGACTTGTAGAAGGCATTCGACCGTGTCCCTCGGACTGTCCTGTGGGAGGTGTTGCGGGAGTATGGGGTGTCTGGCCCATTGCTTCGGGCCATTCGATCCCTATACAACCGTTGCAAGAGCTTGGTCCAACATAACCGGCAATAAGTCGGACTCGTTCCTGGTGGGTGATGGGCTCCGCCAGGGCTGCCCTTTGTCACCGATTCTGTTCATATTTTTGTGGACAGAATTTCTAGGCGCAGCCAAGTGGTGGAAGGCTTCACTTGATTGGTCTCAGAATCTCATCTCTGCTTTTCACGGATGATGTGGTTCTGTTGGCTTCATTGAGTGAGGGCCTCCAGCTCGCAGTGGAACGGTTCGCAGCCGAGTGTGAAGCAGTGGGAATCAGATGAGACACGCATCCAGGTCAGCCATCCGGGAGGGACTCAGAGTAGAGCAGCTCCTCTGCATCGAAAGGAGTCAGTTGAGGTGGTTCGGGCATCTGACAAGGACGCTGCCTGGATGCCTCCTGGGTGAGGTGTTCCGGGCATGTCCCATTGGGATGATTCCCTGGAGCAGACCCAGGATGTGCTGGAGAGATTATATCTCTCGGCTAGCTGGGAATGCCTTGGTCTTCCCCCAGACAAGCTGGAGGAGGCGAAGGAGAGGGAGGTCTTGGCTTCTCTGCATAGGCTGCTGCCCCCGCGACCTTGCCCCAGATAAGCGGAAGAAAATGGATGGATGTTACTTAGCAGTACAGTCTGTGCTCTTTAACTATAGATCTTGTTGCAGGATAATTGAACCGGAGGCTTTGAAGCAGGGAAACATGAGCTCTCTGGGATTCACCAGCAAAGAACAAAGGAATTTGGGCCTGCTGGTTCACTTGATGACTACAAATCCCAAGATCCTCTACTCTCCTATTGGCTCCCAGGTGGACAAAGTGATTCAGAAGGCATGTAAACAGCACGCTCTTTTGTGTATATGTACAAACAGATTTGCATTATCAATCAGGTATGAACAAAGCTTTTGTCATAACCAGCAAAAATACACTGTCCAAGCTGTTAGTGTGTTTTCTTCCAAAACACTGGGAGGCAGAACGGACTGAATGAGTATTATGTAGATCTCCACCATCTAATTTTTAACCCTAACCTGATACAATGTTCATTCAGAACATTTTCAATGTGTTGGTGCAACATGATCTGTGCAACACTCCAT